TATGTACGTCATCTTTACTCTCACGTTGATATATTCAATTATCACCACGCTTAATATCTTCAATGGACTTCTGCACCTTTAAATCTAGGCAAATTTATTCATAATTAAAATAACAACAAAAAACTATTTCATACTTAGTACTGGCTGAATAGTGAACAGTTCAGGCCATGATCTGAGAGCACAGATATGTTTGCTGATCTTGGGCAGTATTTATTTCGCATGTGTGGAATCAAAAGCCGAAAGCCGGCTTATGATTAATACGAACATACGGAAAATAATTACAAAGAAATAAAACTAGGTGATTCATATAATTTTTACTCAAATCTTTTGTAACAATCTTGCTTACTATGTTAAAGGTGAAGGTGGGTTATCAAACAAGGAAGAAGTAATTCGTTCAGCATTTAGAACGTTCGATAAAGACGGTAGTGGATATTTAGACTCAGATAAATTAAGGTTTGTAGAAACTCTTTGTAAGAAAGTTTCAGTCGGACAAAAAGAAAATTGTGCACCTTTATTAACTAGTTCATAAAGCGTATAGTTGAAAAATATGGTTATGTTTTGTTTAAAGATATTTATTTTACATGTAAGATGGTTCTTGGACGATAGTATGAGGTTGTCATTCATTGTTGTGTATAAGACTGTCTTTTGCTGGACAAGTACACATCTGTAAAACTTATAATACTTCGAGGACAATAAAGGTTTTCCGGCTGTGTACGAGTAAAATAGAATCAGTATTACACTCAACATTATACAATTAACTCTTTATCACACATCACCAATTCCGAAGGTCTTAAGGTGAAAGCATATCAAATGTAAGGAAAAATGGAAAAATCATGAGTGTTTTGTGTTATGTTAAGATTGAAGTTATTTCGCGTACAATATAGATTTTATATTGAATATTTAGACTCGGAAAATTAAAAAAGATAGCGTAAAATATGAATTTTATATAGATTAACTGGACTTGAGCGATAAAATTAAACTAGATTAATCATATTGGAAACCACTAATGATTAATATCCACGTTGAGAAAATTTTGGATATATAATTGGTTACATTGTTTAAGGTGTGAAATGATTTGTCGTCCTTCAAAGCTAACCGTTAAGAACGATCTTTAACGGTTCGCCTTTTCGGTTTTTCATAAATGGAATGAAATTTATGGATAATCGTTTAACACAATGATCATTTTGGCGGATGATATATTTCTGTCACTTAGAAAAGCGATGAAAACACTGGGGGACTGTCTAACAGACAAGGAAATAGATGATATGATAAAACAAGTGGATACAAACGATGATGGTAGAATACAATATGAAGGTAGTATTATAATAATAATATATTTATACAGAAATTATGAAATAAATTTCGTGCCAAAAGTTAAAATTTTTGCATGTAGCATCTTTTTTATTCATAACTTAGTTGTGAAACAAACGACATCAGAGTTGAAGCTTACACAAACTGACAATAGTTCATACAGTATCAAATTGTCTTTAATTTATGTTCACAGAAAATGTTTTACATTTGTTATAATATAGATGTTTTTCATTATTTTAAGACAAAACTGAAAAAAAGTAAATAAATAGACCTTTTATGAAGCTTTCATTCTATTATCTTATTCCAATACATTTTTTATATTGTTTATTGAATTTCAAGTTTTAAAAAGTTTTGGTTTTGGGAACCCCTTTGGGGCCAATTTAAGCAAAATAAACCCCTCTTTCCCTAAACTCGAATTTCATTACACATTTAAAATAAAATTTAGCAAAGGGAAACCCCAAGAACCCCAAACTTTGAAAAAATTGACAAAATAGGGGCCCCTTTTTAATTGAGTCTTTTCAGGGACAAAGGGGAAAAGCAAATTCCGTCCACGCCCCAATATCCCCCGGGTTTAAAGTAGCAAAAAAAACAAAAAACAGTTTTTTTTCTCTAGAAAAAAAAACTACATAGAGATAAAATCCCTTTTCCTTAAAGGTTAAAAACTTCAGCTTTTTCAGGAAGCTTTGGAAAGTTTACAAAAAGGAAATATTTTTTTAAAACCCCCAATTAACGAGTACCCACCCCAAATCCTTTTTTGAGAAATAAATATGATCAATATGTGCTTTAAGAATTAAAACTTGAAAACGTTATGTCGATTTTCTAAAATTGTTAGGGATAAACAGAATATGTTTTTATCCGTTTTCCTTTTTTACTTTAAGTAATGGTTATTGTTTCTTTGTAAACTCTTGCAAATTCAAATTGATCAAAAGTGGCGACAAAAAAGATTGATTAATTAAAACCGATTTACCAAATTCAATATGTTGCAATTTAATTGAATAACTGTGTTCGGACAAAAAATAAAATGTGCTTGGCCACATATTTTAGAATTAATATTTTGATATTTAAGGTAGAACTATATGTACGTTTAAAAGGACGTTTAGATAAAAAAAATAAAAGAAATTTCAGACTTTTTCTAATAAGCCTTTTTAAAGTCGAAAATTGTAGCTAAACTGAACGTCAAATTGTACAAAATTGCCAAATTTCTATCCATTTTTCAAACATTTTGCAGGTTAATACGATATATTTGATATTAGCATGACGAAAAAGAAATCCGTCGAGTACTGTAGATTTTAAGATATTTTGTCTGCCGATGACGTTGTGATACCCGTAACTGTTGTCAAGGATAAGCAACGACATCATGTTATAAAACTGGTTTGGTGGTCAACGTCATGTCGCAAAGTGTCGCGTTCTACCTTAAGATGAGTTTATGCACTGTTGTATATAGTATGATATCTTTAAGAATTATATTTATTTCATTATCACCAGAAAATAAATGTTTTGTAATAGTTTTTAGAGGTTTTACCATATTTGAACTTTTCAAATAAAAAAAACAAATGTTTTCTAAATATACAAACGATTTGATTTTACTATTTTTAGCTCGACTATTCGATAAGAATAAGTAGAGCTGTTGCAGTCACCCGAGCGTCGGCGTCGGCGTAACCACTTATGTTAAAAGTTTTTGTAATAGTTCAAATATTTTCAAAGTCCATTGACATATGGCTTTGAAACTTTGCACACTTGTTCACCATCATGACCCCAACCTGTAGACAGGAGGAGGTAACTCTATTAAGCATTTTGACAGAATTATGCCCCTTTTTCAACTTAGAATTAACGTTAAAGTTTTTGTAATAGTTAAAATATTTTCAAAGTCCATTGACATATGGCTTTGAAACTTTGCACACTTGTTCACCATCATGACCCCAACCTGTAAACAGGAGGAGGTAACTCTATCAAGCATTTTGACAGAATTATGCCCCTTTTTCGACTTAGAATTTACGTTAAAGTTTTTGTAATAGTTCAAATATTTTCAAAGTCCATTGACATATGGCTTTGAAACTTTGCACACTTGTTCAACATCATGACCCCAACCTGTAAACAGGAGGAGGTAACTCTATCAAGCATTTTGACAGAATAATGCCCCTTTTTCGACTTAGAATTTATGTTAAAGTTTTTGTAATAAGTTCAAATATTTTCAAAGTCCATTGACATATGGCTTTGAAACTTTGCACACTTGTTCAACATCATAACCCCAACCTGTAAACAGGAGGAGGTAACTCTATCAAGCATTTTGATAGAATTATGCCCCTTTTTCGACTTAGAATTTATGTTAAAGTTTTTGTAATAGTTCAAATATTTTCAAAGTCCATTGACATATGGCTTTGAAACTTTGCACACTTGTTCACCATCATGACCCCAACCTGAAAACAGGAGGAGGTAACTGTATCAAGCATTTTTTTTACTATCAAGCACTAAGAATAGTCGAGCGTTGCTGTCCTACTGACAGCTCTTGTTTTCAATAAAAATTACCTTTTGATAAATCTGCTCAATTTTGGATTGATGTTAAATGATCTATTGAATATGTGAAATAAAAATCTAGAAATTTGGAGTAAGATATCTATATTTGATTTTGATTTTAAAATTGTTTAATTTAGAGTGTAAATAACGCCCACATACTTACTGTTTCATGTGGACAAATATCATTTATATACACAAACAAAAATTCATATTACGCACGTAGCTTCTCATACAAAATAACTGTCATTGTAAGTTATACACTTTTCCAACATTTAGAGTTTGAGAATATTTCAATTATCTCAATTAGATTTTAAATGTTTTGTTTTCTTTAAGTATTAGTATGTTGGTCATTTTATGTTCTCACTGCCATTGTAACTAAAGCACTGTAAGAACATTAATCCTGTGACATCAAAGTCTTTAACATTGAAAGAACCTATATTTCTAGTCAGTGCTATATTAAAAGATATGGTTTAACGACTGTAAATCAGCAAATGAAACCTTATAATATGATCTGAATACAGATATTTACTTCGTCTCCATGGCAAACAAAGACGATTATTAGAACAATATGAGAAGAATGTATACGATTAAATGGTGATGATACTATGTACCTGATGAAAAAAATGACTGATAAATCAAATATAGAAAATTGATATTTTGCTTTTCTTTTTTCTCTGGAATTATCTTCTGCATTATAAGGTGATTTGGAAATTATGAAAGCAGTTTTGCGGGATAAGATTTAAATATAAGTGGGAATAAATAAAAAAATATTGGATTCTTAACTACCAAACAGACATGAATATCAAAAATTTATATTTGATACATTGATTGGAATGTATCACAATGTAAATTAAAATAAAACTAAACTAGATTACACATGTAAATCAGAAAAGAAACTTCGAGAAACTCGCGAAATCCCCGTTACGGTATAAAATTGAAGGAAATAGCGAATCTATTTTTTTTTCGATATTCATTGAACGCGAATAATGCAAAAATTAGATCCTCTCTAAAAACCTGATATACGGTATTTAATGAAACTTTACCACTTCAATGCCCATCAAAACTTAGAAATGTTGCCATTTTTATTCATCGAAAATTTTTATTCTGGTATTTTTTACAGTTTCTTAAAAAAGATAACATCACACAAATGAATTGCCACATAGATGAACTATCTTTTTGCAGCTTTTGCTCTGTTGGTATTTGGTTACATTATCGTGAATTAGTATTTCGTGTGGAAGTCAAAAAACTACATTGTTTACATTTTTGTACATTTATATCACATTACTGCACGTTCAGCTGTACTTCCGTCAGTTGATAAACATGTGAACAGCTCTAACTCTACTATTCAAACATTATTCAACACATATTTGACATTTCTTAAGAATAAAAAAATATGGATTTCTGAGGCATGATGTGTCTTTAAACGAACATGGATTATTATTTATATCTATATTTCGGTACTGAACAGCCATAACAACGTTAATGTAACAACTAAGAATATAGGAAAATCTGAACATTTTTCATTTCAATACAGTATGCAATACACTATATAATACATTTTTAAATATATTGTTCAATTCACTGTATAATAAACTGTTAAATAAGTGTTCATTACATAGTTCAAAATAAGAGTCAATACACTGTTTAATAAAGTCTTCAATACAATATTCAATACAATATATAATAAAATGTTCAATACATTATTTAATACACTCGAAAACACACTGTTAAATACAATATTAAGACACCGTATTCAATACTAATTCATAAAACGTAAGTAGTGTATAAACAAAAGAGATTTATGAAAGAAGAAAGGTTCTTCTTCTTCTTCGTATAATAATAATAAACCGTTCAATACATTATTTAATACAATTCAATACTGTTCAATACAGTATCCAATACACTGTATAAAAAACGATTCAATGCAGTATTCAATACACAGTATAATAAACTGTTCAATTTAGTATCAATACACTGTATAATACACCGTATTATAAGTGTTCAATACATTCTACAATACACTGTATAATGAACTGTTCATTACACTGTATAGTTTTTTTTTAAAAATGATTCAATACAGCATTCAATACACTGCACGAATATACTAGTAATATACTATTCAAAAAGTGATCAATACATCGCTCAATAAGTATTACTGCTGCACGCCTGCATATGAGCCAAAGTAGTTCAAGAAAATTAATATTGAGAAATTTGCACTAAACTTTTAAGAAAGAAAACAAATTCAAGATCCAAGTTATATTTTACATGTCATGTGCGGTTTAAGATTGATTTTGCAGTATTTTATCACAATAATTTTACTCCGTTACTAACGCAGTAAGGGCTGTTTTTGCACATCTTGACTTTTCAACTTTCGTGGATTGTAAGTGCCGATTGCAATATGTAAATTACTTTATTTGTTCACCTTACAATATTTTACTTTTAAATACATTTCCAAACTGTTCATGATAATTAACATGAATCTAGAGGCGTACTGCTTTAAAATCAAAGCACTTAAGGCAATGAATTTGTTTGGGTCTCAGAATGTCAGAAAGTTGAAGGTTGTGAGATTATATATATTTGTTTTTGTATAGTGCCACGAATGCTTTCCAGCCTTTTAATTGTAGTAAATTGGCTATAAGACTAATTGCAACACTGATATTCAATTCAATGTTTATTCGACTTAAACAATTTGAAAAAAAAACTTGCCTTAACTGGGACTTGAACTCCAGACCTCTCGCTTCCCAAGCGAGCGCGCAAACCCCTCGGCCACGGTGAAGTTATATGTTAACGGCCTGAAGAAAACTATATTATTCTTAATTAGGGTTTGTAACCCTTATTATTTCGACGCTGACTGTTGTTTAACACAGATGAAAATAATCATGGAGCTTACTATAAGCATGTATATCTATAAAGAATATAACAATATTAGAAATATTCGAACATTCGGGAACTATTTTGCTTGAAAATTAACGCGCCTGTCATTTGACCATCTTTAAGCAGTGATCTCCCCTGAATTTTTCGGCGTTAGTGTACATATAAAGGGAAGTAACCGCTTCAAAAAAGCGGACTACTTTCGGCATTTGCAATTAACAGCATCAGAGTCTGAAATTTCGCTACCATTATTTGTTTTGTCTGACGACCCAAACAAATAAAAACACTGTTCAATACAATGTCCTATCTTTTTAATATGCCATTAAATTATAAAGGCCGAAGGGACTTAAAAGTACTCCAAAGGCTTTTGACATGGCGGGACTAGATACACGTTTATAACTTTAACTTTTATGCATAATTTTAAATCATTCGCTGAAGAATAATCATATCTATTGTGCAAAAATGTCCTAAACATTAAAGCGTCAAATGTTTTTTACTAAAAATCGGCGAAGAATCGCAATAGATAACGATTTTTTTTATTTTATGTTAAATATATTCATTGTGTTATACGTAAGTGTCAGTTTTATGTTCTCAGTTGATCTATGTCTAGGTTAAAATTTCATGCTTTGGCTTTTGTTTCCTAGCGGAGTTCCTTTCATTCTACTGAATAACCAATAATGATGGATGATAAGTATGACGAACACATTATTCAGACCAGAATAACGCCATTCAAAGTGTCCACTGAGGACTAGTAATGAAAATGCAATCAGTGAAAAAGTTCAATACAAATCTAATTGTGTAAATTATTCATTTTCTAAATTGTGTTATAAAGTAATAAACAATTCGTGATTTGTCATAGTTTGCCAATGATGATGTTGTTTTATGCGTTGACCTAATGTCGGACATGCTGCTGTATTACACTCGATTTATATGAAATCGAACACATGGTCATACTTCATTTCCCTTACTAACACACGCGGTTATTTCTTTTGGTACTAAGTAAAGAAGGTTTTCTCTGATCAGATTGTTGTTATGACAATAAATATGTGGAAAAATATTGGTGTGTAAACCATGCAGCTGCACGCCTTGATACTAGTACTAATTTTCCATGAAAACTAATTATTAGGCGGAAATATATTCCACTAGAGAAACAAAAAACAAAAAGCCCAAGTACGACACAATTGAAAATGTTGCAGGCTCCAAAAATGAGTTAAAATGAGTGTTAAAGCAAGCAAACACACAAACAAAACTTCGACCATAATTAAAACATAATAAGACCTACATAAATGACATTTATAGTTGTTTCCTGCTAAGACAGTGTATTTGATATTTCTTCGTTTTATGTTTATAATTTCGAATGATTTAATATCATTGTAATGAGGCTTGAAAATTCCCCGTACAGGTCATAAACAGTCAAGAAACATTGCGTTGATCATGTTCTGGAATAAATAATTGCCTTTAATATTTCCAAAATACAGATGCACTTGATTATTTATGATATCCATGATATGAATCTGGCTTTATTTTGTATAATTTTATACAATGAAGATAAGAAGGAAAATAGCATATTTCGCTTCACACAGCAAAAGTATTAATCTGTAAAAAAAGAAAACAACAACAGTGAGACGTCTCACAAAGTTGGTAACTGCTAGGTAAGGGGTTTCTATGTAGGAATTTATGCATTTTAACGACAACTGTATTCAATATACAAAGTGATATTCAGAAAAAGAAGAGAATTTTCTCTGTTTAAGAATTTCCACTGTGGACATTGAACAAAGTAAAGTGGATTCGCTATCCCGATATGCCAGAGAAATGCAATTATTTTTATTTCTCAAAGACTTTCTAATTTTGGTATCATGTTACAGTTTCCAAAAAAGAAAACAACTCATTTGCCATATAGATGTACTATCCTTTACTTCTTTGCTCTGTTAATAAAGAGGAGTATAATTATAGAATAATAACGTGTGTTTTACATCGAAGTCAAAATACTACTTTGTTTACATTTTGCTACATTTACGACACATAACTGCACATTCAGTTGTTATACATTTACTGTGCTCCAAATCAATTATCCAAACATTTTTAAACATATGTTTAACAATTAATGTGGATTTATAAGGCATAATATAATGTGCCTTTAAACTTACAAACGTGATAGTATGATATATTTAACAGTTTAATAGTAGATATCCGATTATATTCTATCTAATTTACTTATAGTAGCTTAATTGTTAATATTGCCATATGTTACTGCCACTTCTTTATCAACTGGCCAAACAATGTTCTGTTTTACTTCAGTTATACTCTATGTTGCGTTATTTCTGACTGATCTTGAATTCAGAATGCAATAATGCTTCTTATTGTTCCTACTTAATCTACAAAATCCTCAAATCCTGCATAAAAACAGAGATAAAATGTCTGACGACATATAGAGAATTGTATTTTATATCTTTATCAATGTTTATTCATTGAGTTTGAATGGCTTTTCTGGTGCATTTACATCTTCCTGTTACAGTGCTAACTTACAACAGTTAACAAAATAGCAGGATTATTTATGCACTATCTAAATCTTAGTAATATTTTTTTTTCAATAAGAGTAACTCGCTCCTAATGATTTTATAGTTATATACACATGTGATGAAATAGATGACTGTAGAATCATGCACGGCTCGTGCTCACAAGCGAATTAAA